GAGTGTTTCATGAGGACAGTGTAGAGGGAGCTTTACTCTGTACCTAAGATCCCATGCTGCCCCCATCCTGGGAGTGTTTGATGGGGGACAGTGTAGAGGGAGCTTTACTCTCTATCTAAACCCCATGCTGTCCCTGTCGTGGCAGTGTTTGATGGGGGATAGTGCAGAGGAAGATGGTTCTGCAAAATTAATGTAGCTCCGGGTGATGTGAACTGACGTATGTTAGAGTAAAAGCACAGCTCAGGGCAGATGTGGGCACATGCCTGTTAAGCATCAGTTTGAATGGTGTGAACCGTCAATAAGGTGCCCTGGGTCATGGGGAGATCAGGGTTTGCTGAGGGTCTGAAAGAGGCTGTGGAAGTGCAATATTGTCTTGGACCTATTCCTGCCTGGCTATCCCTGGATTGCAGTCCTAGAGTCCGGTCACATTGATGCCTGGATTGGGATGGGATCACCAGCTGTATCGGGTCTGTGGGTCTGCCAGTGTAACCCCAAATGCCACTGTCAGCAGTGAGCAGAGTGCAGTTGTTAACCTGGGCATTGCTTCCGGGTATTGTGTTATTGTGGTGGAAGCAATTGGGCACGTGTCTCAGGAATACACCCACACTGTTCTATCTGAGACAGCCCAACCCCTCAGAACACCTCCAATCCAGCCTGGCTGCAAGGGCAGACGGCAATGCAGCATGCCCTCAGTGTGACAGGTTTCCTCAGATAGTCCAAAGATGTGCGGGTTAGGGTGGATTGGCCGTGCTAAATTGTCCCGTAGCACCCAGGGATGTGCGGGTGGGGTGGATTGGCCGTGCTAAATTGTCCCGTAGCGCCCAGGGATGTGCAGGTTAGGGTGGATTGGCCGTGCTAAATTGTCCCGCAGTGCCCAGGGATGTGCGGGTTAGGGTGGATTGGCCGTGCTAAATTGTCCCGTAGCGCCCAGGGATGTGCGGGTTAGGGTGGATTGGCCGTGCTAAATTGTCCCGTAGTGCCCAGGGAAGTGCGGGTTAGGGTGGATTGGCCGTGCTAAATTGTCCCGTAGTGCCCAGGGATGTGCAAGCTGGGTGAGTAGGCCGTGGGAAATACAGGGCTATATAGGGATAGGTTAGGGATTGGGCATGGGTGGAATGATCTTCGGAGAGTCGGTGCGGCAACACTGTAGGTATTCTATGATTCTATGAATAATAATCCATGCCACACCTCTTGCCCCTGCCCTGCCTCACTTTCTGACTCAGGATTTGACTCTCAGACATGATTTTCTTTCTCTCTCTCTCTCCCTCTCTCTCTCTCTCCCCTTGTTTTTTTTTGTTGTTGTCGTTTCTCCCGCAGGAGTCAGCATGTCATACATGAACACTGGGGTCGGAGGTCAGAAGGGCTCGTCCTTGGCAGACCGTCAGCGCGAGTACCTGCTGGACATGATCCCCCCCAGGCCCATCTCGCAGTCCATCAGCACGCCGAAGTGAAGGGCTGCACCCGTCGCATGCAGTGCCTGTCCCGGTGCCTCGTTACTTAACCCGTTGCTTCAGAGGGAGCAAAACCCCCTATTTTACCCCCACTTCCCTCCCCCACTCTCCACCTGCTCCTGTTCCCCACCCCCCACCTCAACACCAGTATTATCGTTCTCTGTGTCTGTTGCTAACTTTGTCATCGGCCTTTTGGAGGTGGGTGGGCATGGAAATGGGATTCCCTGCGGTGCTCTGCTCGCATGACCTTGGGAAGCAAGTGTCAGCCTTCAGGAAGGTGTGCCTGTACCTGCGTGTGTGCGAGCGTGTGCCCGTGTGCGTGCCTGTGCGGGTGTGTGCACATACACCTGTATGTGTGTGTGCACGCATGTGCACGTGCCTCTGTGTGCATGCATGCTTGTACCTGTGTGTGTACACGTGCCGGGATGTGGCCTTGTGTGCTCGTGTGTGTGTGTGTGTGCACGTGTGTTTGTACATGCCTGTGTGTTTTTGTGGGTGCCTGCTGTTTTCCTCCTTCGTCTCCCCCTTCACCCATGACTGCGGCTTCATCTCTGGGAACCCACAGCACTCGCTTGGCCCAATTCATTGGCCCGAGATGAGCCGAGGAGGCAGCAGAGGGATTTTGACCTTCACCTGACTCCCCACCCCCTCTGAAAGCAGGCCCTGTGACCCTCTGCGTTGGGGCGGAGGAGGGCGCAGGGGTGAGTAGCACGGGAGGGGGTAAGCAGCCCTATCCCAGCCTGATCCCCTCAGCAGCGCTGGAGCTAAGCTGCCTCCCTCGGGGAGGGTCGAGCCAGGCTGCAACTCCCCCACCCAGTTGAATAGCCAGGTCAGATATTGTACAGGGGGAGTGCCCTTTTTGGGAAGAAGGCTGTGTAGACCCTTCTGAGGGTTGTCTAGGGGGAGCCAAGAAGTGGAGAAGGACAATCCGAGACTCCATGAGACTGCCTTTGCAGTCTCCAGTTTACTTTTTGTGGGAGGGGGTTTCGTTCGTATTAATTGTCTACATAGGAGTGACCCACTGTGTAAGATGCTTCTAGCAAAGTTGGAGGCTGTTCGGCCCTTCAGTTCCATGCCAGCTCTTCAAAAGGGCAATTTTAATCAGGCTCTTCCCTAAACATCCCTCTCACTCTCACCACTGCCCCAAGACTGAAGGGTTTGAGGTTGAAGGGAGACGTCGGGAATGAGCTGCCAGACTTGGATTTGTCAGCGAGCTTTCCCTCTCGGAGGAGTGGCTGCCCATGAAAGTGCAAGTTGGGGGGGTGGTGGGGTGGGGTAGGGTAGGTGGAGACTTTGCGACAATCAGTCGGACTCTCCCCACAGTGGGTGGGTGAAGGGTGACTGACTGACAGCTTGTTTGTGGTAGTTGTGCAGTGAGGTAGAGGCTAGCAGCAGGAGAGAGAGAGGTGGGGGAGAGGCAGGATGGGGGTGCAGGGACAGAGTGGGCAAATGCCAGTGCAGGTTTGGTGTGGTGATGGAGGGATGAGCTGGCGCCCTGCAATGTGGCCTCTAAGTGAGCAGTTCTTCTGTTTTCATGTATATATGTGTGCCAGTGTGTGAGTATGTGTGGAAATGTGAGTGTATGAGTATGTGTGGGAATGTCTGTGTGTGTGTGTGAGAGAGAGAGAGAGAGAGGTGGGGGCGTGCACTGTTGCTGTAATGTGTTTTCAGATAGTGGCACAGTTGCACTTTGTAACAGATGGATTGAATTTCCTGTCTGGACTTCCCCAGCCACTTTAACTCGTTAGGAAAAGGGAGGGCTGAAAACACGTTTGGACTTGTTAATACTTCACCTCTTTGGGCCCTGTCCGTTCCTTTCAGGTTAATTGTCATCAGTTCTGGGCGCAAGAGCAGCTTTAACAGAGGAACAGGGCAAGGCCGTTTTGTTCTGGGAGCTGCTCAGTCAGACTACTGCCTGGTCTGTATCCTCACTCCATCTACCTGTTTCTAACCCTTCATTCCCCCCCATTTTAACCCCGACAGAACTCCCTGTGTCCATCGACTGTGATTCAGGGGAGAGATGATCCAGATTTCCACCCCCCTCTCCGGTGTGAAGAGCTGCTCTCTGACATTGCTTCCTCATCGCCACCAGCCCTGGGTGGCTTGCCTGAATGTTGAAGACCAACAGGAATGGCCTGCTCACAGAGCAGCGGAGGGACTGTATGCCTGGTTAGCAGTGTTTACACCCAGTGCCCTTTCTCGATGGGGCTTGCCCCAGCAGGAAGGATGGTGGTAAGAGGGGCTGTTCCCGGTTTGGTGACATTACTGAGCCTTCTCGGCACAGCATGAGGCCATTGTGCACAATCATGCTCATTGCCAGCTCTTTGAAAGAGTTCTCCAGTCCCCCACAACTACCGAATCCTTTCAGCCCCTGCATAGTTCTGATTCCCCTCCCTCCCTGTCCCTTTTTGTAAGTTCCTATTGAATCTGCTCCCTTTCAGGCAGCCTGTCCCAGATCACAACGATTTGCTGCCTCAACAAACTCATTCTCCTCCTCTCCCTCCCACTCCCACTAGTTGTTTTTCCCGGATTGTCTTCAATCCACGTTACCACCCCAGCTCTGGTGACCGACACCTCCCCCCGCCGCTCATTCCACTCGATTGGAACCCGCCGCCTCCACCCCCTCTCTCAATTTGGAATGACTCGATTCACAATCTCATCCCCCCCACCCAACACATACCTTTAACGTTCTCCATTCTGAGGGGAGTGATCCCAGCTTCTACCCCCCCCAATCTCTCTGGGCACAAAAAGATGCCCCTCATCACAGAGTCCTGGAAAATCTCCATACGCGCACACCCTCTGAGACCGTGACCCATTCTGAATTCTGTCCAGGCTGAAGATGTCGAAATCCTAAAGCATGATGAGGTTATTGTGGAATTTTAACCCAACAATTGAAACTGCTGCCAGGAACAATCCAGGCAGTGAGGTGGCGGGCGAGGGGGCGTTGTGACTCTGGTGTGTGTGCGTGCATGTGTGTGCGCGTGTGTGTGTGTGTTTGCAGGTCGTGCTTGGAGTGTATGCTTGCTCGCAATTCTCACACACGTCCTGCCCAGTGCTGGGTGTGTTGAAGAATCAATCCAAGGACAAGTGTGCTCACTGCAGGACGATAGAGGCGTTCAGCTTGCGAAGAAAGGGTGCACAAGGAGACCCTCTCTGTGCTCCCCTCAGCTGGGGCAGGGGACAGTAGGACACACTGGCTCAGTGGAGCCTGACCTGTCTGTGTGGCATCAGGCACAGTGACTGATTCCTCAGGCACACTCCAGTTGTAGTTTGGAAAAGTCCCTGAGCTCCAGATTCTACATTGTATGTGGTTGTTGCTTGTGGGTTGGTGGGTGGGGTGGGGGGGCTGAGGGGGGTATTCTGTGGTTATTGTACATTGAAAAGGTCTAGTTACTCTGCAAGAGACATACCTACAAGCCTCAGACTGTCTGTTACACAAGATGCCAGTCTTGGGTCAGCTGGCATCCTTCTCGCAGCTTGGAATCCTGGCCAAGTGTGTTTGAGACACCACTCCAGAGACTCCAGGCCAACACTCCCAGGGTCAGCGCTGAGGGAGAGCCACACTACTGGAGTATCAGCGCTGAGGGAGAGCCGCAGTATTGGAGGATTAGCACTGAGGGAGGGACACACTATCGGAGGGTCAGCGCTGAGGGAGCAGGTGCTGATGTAGAGGACACTGTCAGAGGGTCAGTACTGAGGGAGCACTGGACTGTTGGAGAGTCAGTACTTGGGGAGTGGGCACTGTTGGAGGTTCAGCGCTGAGAGAGTGGACAGTGTCGGACAGTCAGCACTGAGGGAGTGAATAGTGTCGGAGGGTCTGCACGGGAGAGCACCACACCGACAGGGTCAGCGCTGAGGGAGCGGGCACTGTCGGAGGGTCAGCACCGAGGAAGCATGGGCGGTCGGAGGGTCAGCGCCGAGGGAGCAGGCGCTGTCGGAAGGTCAGCATCAAGGCAGTGGGCGCTGTTGGAGGGTCAGCGCTGAGGGGGTGGATACTATCAGTTGGTGCTGTCTGTTGGTCAAGACGTTAAACCAAGGCCCTGTCTGCCTGAAAAGGTGGACATTAAAGATTCCTCTTGTAAAGAAAAGCAGGGTTTGAGGTGGGAGAGGGACGAGTTTGGGTGGGGGGGAGCAGGGTGGGGAGAGATTATTCTTCCTGGTAAACACACAACCACGGTCTTCCCCATTTATCTTCTGGAGGACTGTGAGAATGCTGGCTGCTGTGTTCACCCACCAGACCGTCATGCATGTGGGCAGTTAACCCCCAAGTGGTGGTATTGGGAATGGGAGTGATGCTGCAACTCTATAAAGCTTGAGGTGGGGGGAGGGAGTGGTGTGTGTGAGACAGATGGTGGGTCAGCTTCACCAAGAGCGGTCCTGAACGGACAACGTTTTCCGCGTCAAAAGCTAACTTGTGCAACCTTTGGCTGTGTTGACCTAAATTGGACCTGTGAAGCTCGCTTCCTGATGTTCTTTGTGTACAGTCTTCCTGTATATCTGAACGTGGCTGCATCGGGTAATGTAAATGGTTTTTATGGCATGTTACAGTTTGAGCTGGACATTAATGGTCCTTTAATCCTCTCTCTCTCTCTCTCTCTCGTTACACAGAGTCAAACCCTCCCAATCCTCCCAACGCACCTCCTCCCCCTTCCTCCCTCCCCGCCTCTGTTTTCATTTTAAAGTTTTAATTTAGGCGAAAAGAATTTTTCTTCCATTTTGCTTTTTTTTAAAAAAAAAGAAAGATTTTTTCTGTATGTTGTTGTTGTTGCTAAGCCTGTTTTATCATTTTGTATTGTGCTAGATTTGTGTACTTCGGCAATGTATTACAAATGTTATATACCGATGGGAGTGCAAACTGCCAAGAGACAGTCATCCAATGGCTGGGGAAAACAAAAAAGAAATAAGCAAGTTTTTCAAAAAAAAACCTTTGTAGTATTTATTACTTGCAGGTTGTGTTTAAAATAAGGGAACCAGTTGAATCTCCTCTGTGAGATGGTGTACGTGCTATTAAACTATCAGGTGAATTTATCTGACTCCAGTCTTGCGTTTCCCTTTCTTCCTGGCTTTCATAATGGTGACCATTCGGCTTATCATTGTCATTGCTGGCTCTGCGAGGGAGCAGTTCCCTTCGTGCCATGTTCTCTCCCCCTTCCTGTGACCCAGTGCCTCCATCTGTTCTGGAGAACGATCCAGTTCCCCGTCCGTGCGAGAAAATGTTTGTCTCCTTCCCATCTCCGCGTTTGCTTCTTCTGCTAAACACTTGAACGATGCCCTCTGCCCAGTCACCTGTCCACGAGGAGGAACAGCTCCCGGCTCCTCCCAACTCTGTCCACCTACAAAGCCACGATTCCCATAATTCCATCAAATCTCCCGTCGGCCTCCTGTTCTCCAAGGACGGTTTCTCCAGCCCCTCCCTTCGCGTCCTTCTGAAAGTGTGGCAACGTTCCGGCACAGGCCTGGCGTGACCACCCCCCCCCCATGGGTTCTTGTCTGCAGCCTGAGGGTTCGGGAACAGACCCGGGGTACGCTTCCCCTCATTTTGTCTTTGCCGCTGGTCCGCTGGTCATCCAGGCACCCACTCAATGTGGGACGGTCTCACACTTGCAGCTCTGTCCCGCACGGATCGAATTGAGCCTTCCTCGCTCACCCTGTTTCATAGAAACGTAGAAAATAGGAACGGGAGTAGGCCATTTGGCCCATCCAGCTTGTTCCATCATTCAGTGGTATCATGGCTGATCATCCTACTCGGTCCCTGTTCCCAACGGTGATCCCTTTAACCCAGAGATCTCTATCCAACTCCTGGAAAATGTTCTGTGTTCCGGCCCCGACAGCTTTCTGTGGAAGTGAATCCCACAGGCTCCCCGCTCTCTGGGTGAAGACATTTCTCCTTGTCTCAGTCCGACCCCACCTCCTTTAGACTGTCACCCCCTGGACTTTTCTATTGAATCCTTTTGTATCAAATGCATTTTTTGATTTTTCCTAAAAATGCACCCTTAAAATTTGTAAAGGTATGTTTCAGAACAGTTCAAAATGAATGCTGCGTAAAGTATTCTAAGGTTCAGCTTGCCTCGACCCAGCATGATGTGTCTTAATAAAGACGTAGAGCTCTCGATAAGTTATATTTGCTGGGATGTGAACAGCACAAGGAAGGCCAATCCCTAATTGCACTTGGCCTGAGGGCCAGCCGCCCCCATTAGTGAATCTGACGGAGTTTTCATCACCAATTGATTGTCACAGTCACCGAGACCAGCTTTTGTCACACCTCACTGGAGACGGTGTGCTGGAAACTGAGCCCCTTTATTCCCAGAGACACAAGTTAAAGATTTTTAATGATTCGCAAAAATTCCTCAATTTCCAGAATTGTAGAACGCACGAACAAAAATTGCCACTTACTGCAAGTAATTTGGCTCCAGCTGCAGGTAAACAGTTATAACTCATTTGTATATAACTCAACAAATTAAAATTCCAGTTTTCTTATAAACTCACCCTAATATACACAGATGCACCCATGGTGAGAGGGGAGAGAAAACATACAATTGTGGACATGGGGAAAACTGGGAGGAGTTCACAGGATCTGCTAAGATGACTCTTCAGTATACTGCTGTTCAACTCTTCCTTCTCCAGACGCTTCCACAGGTTTGTAAAAGGCACAGGGTGGCTGGTTCGCTGATTAAAGAGTCTCTGACTTATTGATTAAAAGTCACAGTAACAGTTGAATGAAAGATAATCTGTTTTTCTTCAGGCTTAAAGTGGCTTTTACTGCAGAGAACAGAGCGAGAGCTCCTGAGCTGGTCTTAGTTCAAAGGCATTAGTGTATCTTGTTCGCAGCCCCAAGCTGCTCAGCCACCTGAGAACCAATCACATCATTGTTAGCAGGCAGAAGGCCTTTGCTATCAGTAACTGGTCACTCACTCACAAACCAATCAGCCACTTGTTGCCAGCCAAAGCTCCATTTATACACAGCCCCATGGTTCCAGTTTATCTGCAAACACTGCTGTAACCAACAGCTGTGTAAACCGTGCTCACTATGAGGACCAGGTAACTTGCTTCCACACCGTGCAGCAATCCTTGGTTTTAAAACAATTCTTTTCTCGTTTCAGCCCATAATTTAAAAAAAACACAATAATGAAAAGACATGGTCTCTATATGTTTATAGGTTTTATTAAGCGGATTTAAATCCATGTTCCCCAGAACATTAGTCTGGGCCTCTGGGTTACTAGCCCAGGGACATTACCAATGCACCACATCACCCTTTAATTTCCATCACACACTTCTTTTATATTCACAGGGTGTGGACATTGATGGCTGGGCCAGTTGATAATGCCCATTCCATAATTGCCCCTGGAGAAAGTGGCAGTGACCTGCCTTTTTGAATTGTAGCACCCCTCCCCAACCCATGTGGTGTAGGGACACCCCGCACAGTGCCGGTCGGGAGGGATTACCAAGATTTGGACACTGAAGGAACAGCTGATATATTTCCAAGTCGGGGTGGTGTGTGTATGTGTGTGAGGGGGCTTGGAGGCGAACTCTGCTGCCCTTGACCTTCTGGGGGTAGAGGTCCCGGGTTTGGAAGGTGCTGACTGAGGAGCCTTGGGGAGTGGCTGTAGACGGTACACACTGGTGCGACTGAGCATTGGTGGAGGAGGGAGCGGGTGTTTGTGGATGCGGTGCCAATCCAAGCGGGGGGCTGCTTTGTTCCAGATGGTATCAAGCTTCTTGAGGGTTATTGGAGCTGCCCCCATCCAGGGCCAGTGGGGAGTATTCCCTCACACTCCTGCCTTGTGTCTTGTTGATGGTGGAACAGGCTTTGGGGAGAGTCCGGAGGGGAGTTACTTGCTGCAGGATTCCCAGCCTCTGACCTGCTCTTGTAGCCACTGTGTTTACATGGCTGGGTCCAGAGCAGTTTCTGGTCAGTGGTAATCCCCAGGATGTTGATAGCAAGGAAGTTCGATGATTGTGCCACTATTAAGGGGTGACAGATTCGATTTCTGTCCAAGGTGGTCATTACTTGGCATTTGTGTGGAGTGAATGTTACTTGCAACTTGTCAGCCCAAATCTGGATATTGCGCAGATCTTGTTGCATTTGGACATGGACTGCTTCAGTGTCTGAGGGGCACAAAAGAACAGTACAGCACAGGAGCAGGCCCTTCGGCCCACCAAGCCTGCGCTGCCACATGATGCCTTTCTAAACTTTTGTCTCTACGTGGTCCATATTCCCTGTCTATTCATATATCTGTCAGATGTCTCTTAAATGAAGTTATTGTATCTGCCTTTACCACCTCCTCTGGCAGCACATTCCAGGCACACACAACCCTCTGAAAAAAAAAAAAAAAAAAAAAATTGCCTCGTATCGCCTTTAAACTTACCCCCTTTTACCTTAAACCAACGTTCCCTAGTAATAGACATTTCTGCCCTGGGAAAAATATTCCTTCTGTCCATGCTTTTCATTATTTCATAAACTTCTATTGGGTCATCCCTCAGCCTCTGACGTTCAAGTGGAAACAAACCAAGTTTGTCCAATCTCGGCTCACAGCTAATACTCTCCAAACCAGGCCACGTCCTGTCAAACTGTTTCTGTACCCTCTCTAAAGTCTTCACATCCTCCTGGTGGTGACCAGAACTGTACACATTATTCCAAACGTCGCCTAACTAAAAGTCTGTACAGCTGCAACATGACTTGCCAATTTTTATACTCGACGTGAAGGCAAGCGTGCCATATGTCTTCGTGATCATGATATCAACTTGTGGACTTGTGTGCCTAGATCCCTCTTTGATGTTGATGCTTCTTAGGATTTTGCCATTTATATTTCTTTCCTGCATTAGGTCTCAAAATGTATCACCTTGCATTTGACCAAATTAAACTCCACCTGCCATTTCTCCACTCAAGTCTCCAGTCTATCAATATCCTGCTGTATCCTCTGGCAATCCTCTTCACTATCTGTAGTTCTCCCCCAGTCTTTGTGTCATCTGTAAGCTTACTAATCAGGCCACCTACATTCTCCTTCAAATCATTTGTATATATGGGGTTCCCAAGCACTGATCTCTGTGGAACACCACTGGTCACAGATCTCCAGTCTGAAAAACACCCTTCTTTCACTGCTGTCTGATTTCTATGACTCAGCCAATATCCATCTCACCAGCTTACCGTGGGTGCCATATAACTACACCTTTTTTATGAGCCTGTCATGAGGATCCTTGTCAAAGGCCTTGCTAAAGTCCATATAGACAACATCTACTGCTCTGCCTTCATTCATTGTCATTTCCTCAACAAAGTCGCCTTTGAGACACAACTTGCCCCACTCAAAGCCATGCTGTCTATTGTTAATAAGTCCGTATTTTTTCCAAAGGTGCGTATATCCTAGTCCAAAGAATCTTCTCCAATGAGTTCCCTACCACTGATGTATGGCTCACCAGTCTATAATTTCCTGGATTCTTCCCTGTTTCTTAAACAAAGGAACAATGTTAGCTATTCTCCAGTCCCTTGGGACCTCACCTGTGACTAAAGGGGATACAAAGATTTCATACAAGGCCCAAGCAATTTTCTCACTTGCCTCCCTGAGTATTCTGGTGTACATCCCATCAGTTCCTGAGGACATGTCTACCTTAATGCTTTTCAAAACAACCAACACTTTTTTGTATTGAAATGCCCTGAAATGTCAACACACCCTTACAAGACTCTGCATCTACCTCCTTTGTGAATGCTAACACAAAGTATTTGTTTAAGAACCTGACCCACTTCCTCCAGCTCCATTCATAAATTCCCTCCTTTATCCTTGAGTGAACCTACCCTTTCGATCTGTACATATGCACAAAATACCTTGGGATTTTCCTTAATCCTGTTTGCCACAGACATTTCCATGACCCTTTTAGCCCTCCTAATTCCTTGAATGAGTTATTTCCTGCTATCTTTTGTACTCTCCAAGGCCTCTGTCTGTCATCAATTTCCTTTTATCTAAGCTCTCAATTTCTCATCATCCAAGGTTCCCAAATCTTGCCATCCTTATCCTTCATTTTCACAGGAATGTGCTGGTTG